CAGCAGTGATGTCACCGGAAGCGGGCATCAGATGGCCTGAGGAAGGAGCGTGCATGCTCCGAATGCACGCCAATCAGTGAGCTTGCTCCCCTTTGCCTGCTTCCGGTGATGTCACGACTGTTGGCTTCGGATCCCTTGGAGTCCTGGACACCACCAGTGCGGCCGTGTGGTCTATGGACCTAAATGCCTACAGTGCCTGAGACAGACTTAGTCTGAAGGAGCTAATAATGTTTATTGTGAGCCATAATTCATCTCTTGTATTGATTACTCTTGTATTGATCTTACTGTACTGATTAAACCAATCTTTTTAAATACTACACTCAGATCAGCACTGCTGTTTTTTTTTCACTTGTATCCCTTTCTACAGAGAAGCTTCATTTCTTACAGCTGGCAGCTATCTGTTTCACAGCCCCCATGGACTCATATACAGACTTTTATTCATGAGCTATGGACTACATTGTCTTGTTGGAATATTAATCGACCAGTGTCCCCCTTGGAATACTTATATATTACCTTACCCATTTGCCACATTTGTACTCTATTTCATCTGGTCTTATTTATTTTACTATTATATTCTATACATTTACCTGGGACAGTATTCTAGCGCTCCCCATTTTCCTCCTATCCATCACATTGGCTACCTGCTGGGAAGTGAGGTAAAACCAGATATATAGCTTATTGCCTTTCTAAATGCACTAATAAGCCAGAAAAGTATCACCTGATCCTGGAAATTCCAGTAGGGTCAGACAGTGATCTGAATGATCATGACTATTGCACCAGAGATAGGCTCGTCCACTTCCCCATTACCACCATTACCGTTCCATGCCAACCCCCTTCCCCTTAACAAATTATACTAACAAAAGACATAACACCTGAAGTCGCAGTTGTGGAGCTTACAATTTTGGAGTAAATGGCCAACATGGCCTTTTATTAACAACTCAAGTTACAATACACCAACCATTCCTTATAACAGAAACCCACAGAATTGTTGTTGGTCTTCGAAGGCACCCCAAAATGATCCGAAATGCACCTGCGGACAACCATATACACTAGGCCTCCAGCCGCAACCAACCAGCTCGGAGACAACCATACCGTCCACAGTGCAGCACCACCACCTTCCAGTTAAACCTTGGTTAACTGGGAATGTCCCCGGGCATCCCATACCACGGATGGGTCCCACACCATTGTTGTTTACCTTCCAAATAGGAACCGCCTCCAAAGACCAACAACCGCCACCAACCATTCCTCATAACAGAAACCCACAGAATTGTTGTTGGTCTTCGAAGGCACCCCAAAACGATCCGAAATGCACCTGCGGACAACCATATACACTAGGCCTCCAGCCGCAACCAACCAGCTCGGAGACAACCATACCGTCCGCAGTGCAGCACCACCACCTTCCAGTTAAACCTCGGTTAACTGGGAATGTCCCCGGGCATCCCATACCACGGATGGGTCCCACACCATGTTGTTTCCCGTCCAAATAAGAACCGCCTCCAAAGACCAACAACCGTCCATGAACCAACATAATCCCCCCCCTCTACCTGGAGGGACCCAAAACTCACCCAAACAGGGAGGGCAGGAGGGAAGCTCACACTCTTGCCATCCAGCTAACTGACGCCCCCTCACAGAACCTCCCACCCTAAGGTGCAGCAAAACCCCACCTACACCAACCTCTACCAATCACCTACCCCCCACTAACAATAACAAATCCCCCTGGAGCTACCTTAACCCTTTCTGCTCTTCCTTCCCCCACTCTGGGCCTAGTCATGTATGCCCTGTGCTATTTCTTCTTTCTTTCGCTACGGGCATTTCTTGAATGAGAAACAGATCTTTGGCAAAAATGCATGTTTGGACTAAATAGATTTGTCAAAAACCTGTTCATTTTTCAAAGGGTGATTTTGGAAGGTCACCCCGCTATACGTGCTTGTAGGACCCCATCTGAAAAAAAAAGCTTGCTCACCAGTCATCTCAGTTATGAACATAAACCCCAATCTAATGTTTAATAACTAAAGTATTTGATTTAGTAGGAGAGTTTGGAATTTACACAAATATAGTGACCTAGCTAAACTTGTTGAGATCATAGACTTATGTACAAAGTGCAGAAAGCATGCATAATCAATCATAAATTATGTTTTATTATTTAGATTGTGTTTTGATTTTTGTTCTGTCTTATTGCTAAAGTCTGAATCTGGATGTCAGACCAAAAAATTATAGTATTGGGTAATGCCCCCAAAAATTAAAGAGGATTGATTTCAGCTTTATTTTCATAGAACTAGAATGCCCTATATGCAATCAGAGTTTCAGAATTTTACATGCACAAGGTTTTTAAAGTCCTCTAACTGTAAGCCCTGGGTCACACCACTGCGACTTCAGGTGTGACGTTCAATTTACAAATTGCACCTGAATTCTCATCTAATGTATTTCTATGGCACTGTCTAAACAGGTGCAATTTCTAATAGCGTTATTAGCTAAATAGTTCCTGCATTACCTTTTCACCACTTCAGTGTGATTTAGCTCTCATAGCCTATAAAGTAAATGACACTGAAATCACACCTGTGTCTATATCAGTGCTACTGCGAAGTTGCGCTTTAAATGGGCCCAAATCGCACCACTTTGAAATCGCATTCAGTGTGAAGCAGGGCAAAATCCCAGTTTTTAATATGGCAAGCAGTAGAACAAAGAATGACTTGTTGCCAGTCTTTCCCAACTGCCGTGTCGCAATAGAAGGTGCTGTTTAGACATTGTTTCCACCAGCAACCAGCTTTGAAGGTTCTAAATTAGCTGCTGATTTGTAGCCCTTCAGTGTAATCTTCCTGGCCCTTAACTGGCTGCACGCCACTTCTTAAGAGAAATATCACTGTGACCTAAAGAAATAAAAGACCATATCCATGATTTCCATTGATTCAGGAATTTTAGCTTTTCTTGGATTGCTGCTTTAAAGACCAACTTTACAAATATATATATATATATATATATGTGTGTACTGTATTTTAGTTTAAAGTAAGCACTAGTGGTTTGACTTTCATTCTGATTTTTTTTTTGTCTCTAGAAGCAAGTTATTGTTTCATTTCCCTGCCAAAAGGCAATAATTGAAATGTCATTCTCTCACAACTGTATTCCTAAGTACCTGTTTTTTTCTATATCTGAGAAAAGACAGGGATAGAGCATGACACCACTTAGCTTTATAATAGCAGGCATTTAGGAGAAATTCTTGCCAATGGACTCTTCAAAACATATCAAAAGCCAGCATGTATCTCAACTTGCCAGAAACCATGTGTAACTAAAATGTCAAATTTTGTATACAAGATTACTATTTGCCATGAGGCTCTGCTGCAGTTTGTCAACTATAAATAGCCAAAAAGTGTGTACCTGTAAGATTTCTTGATATCGTCATGAGTTGCACCTTTCTCTAAACCAAGAACATGATACAAGGCCTCTCCTGAAGTGGACAAAGAACGCTGTCTTTGTTCAGACATCCTGGAATATGAGATGGAAAAAAATAGGCCTTATATTTAATAAGAATAAATGGACAGACAAGTCAACAAAAGACTGGTACATATAAAAAACATGAAGAAATATTGGCAAGAACATAATTATCAGAATTTTACTTAGTTCATAGGCAAAACTTTAAAAGAGAAGTATGGAAAAAAACTTTTTTGGTCATAATTCACTTTTGGGTCACAGGAGTGCACTTAATTTTGCTCTTCTGTGGCCCAGTGTGAGCTAATAGCAGGCTATTGCCTACTATCAGCTGATGTCACAGAGTCGCTCCAGGCTCTGGAAGGATCCCAATCATATTGTCAGGATCCACCCAGCTGCTTTATTGACAGCTGGCTCCAACTCTCAGTACTGAGCTGAGAGCTGAAGTCAGCTGTTCCCACCCCTCACCAGCCTGGCGTTTCAGTGAGACAGTCACCGTTCTCAGAGCTGTCTGAAAAATTAGCAATTAGTGGGCATGTGATTGCTCAGTTTTCTGGCTTAGAGCTGGTGGGGTATAGCTGCAGCATTACACTGCAGGGGACAACTGCAGCATAGAGGTGATTATGTAGGTTTAAATGAAACCCACAACTTTTACCTTTACTCTCTTACACTCTATTGTTTACATTAACATGGAACATAGAAACTAAGAATGTGCTTAGGGCACCAAAGAAAGGGTGCACCACAGAGTTTTTCCTATAGCTATCATGATCATAACTGATAGGTGCACAATCAGACAAAATGCATCTATCATTTTTGCCCCTTCACCTTGAGATAACTGATCCTGCCTTCCCCCTCCACAGAGTTAAACTTATCAAGATTCAAATATTGTAGCCTCCACTATTTATTTACATCTCATACTACAGTCCTCTTTCCTCGCTCCACATTAAAGCCCCATAGACTTCTACCTTAATCCCCCAAATTTCAAACTTTCATTTCACATTCAGTACTTATTGAGTATTAATGTCTCGTCAGTTAAGGAATGTGGGTGCTGCAGAGGGCACCATTGTTGGGCTGTGCTTAGGACATTAGCTGCCCTTAACCACTCGCCTACCGGGCACTTATACCCCCTTCCTGTCCAGGCCAATTTTCAGCTTTCAGCCCTGTCACACTTTGAATGACAATTGCGTGGTCACGCAAACCTTGTACCCATATGAAATGTTTACCATTTTTTTGAGACAGAGCTTTCTTTTGGTGGTATTTAATCACCTCTGGGTTTTTTATTTTTTGCTAAACAAACCAAAAACCACTGAAAATTTAGAAAAAAAAAAACTCTTAGTTTTTGTTATAAAATTTTGTAAATAAGTGATTTTTTTCCTTCACTGATGTGCGGTAATGAGGCTGCAGTGATGGGCACTAATAGGCTACACTGATGGACACTGATAGGTGGCACTGATGAGGAGGCACTGGTAGGTGGCACTGATGGGCATTGACAGGCATCACTGATGGGCACTGAAAGGCAGCACTCATATATGACACTGATAGGCAGCACTGACTGGCACTGATAGGCTGCACTGACTGGCACTGTTAGGTGGCACTGACTGGCACTGATAGGCAGCACTGATGGGCACTGATAGGCGGCACTGATGTGCACTGATAGGCGGCACTGACTGGCACTGATTGGCAGCACTGATAGGTAGCACTGACTGGCATTGATAGGTGGCACTGACTGGCACTGATAGGTAACACTGAAAGGCAGCTCAGATGGGCACTGATATGTGGCATTGATGTGCACTAGTAGGCATTGATATGTGGCATTGATGGGCACTGGCAGGTGGCATTGATGAGCACTGACAGCTGACACTGATGGACACTGACAGGTGGCACTGCTGGGGCTACACAGATCATCAGGGCACACTGATCATCAGTCCCCTGATGATCAGTGCACATGTCCCCTCTGAGTAAAGCCGATTACTGGCTCTCCTTTCCTCTCGAGCTGTCAGCGTGACAGCTCGTGAGGAGAGAAATGCTGATAACCGGCATTTCCTTATTTACATGTGATCAACTGTGATTGGACCAGGGGCGGACTGACCATTTGGAAACTCGGGCACTGCCCGAGGGCCCGGGGTCAGTAGGGGGCCCCATGAGATGCCCCTGGTACCTTTTTTATAGGCTTTTTTGAGTTTGGGCAAGGACACAGGGGCCCCATGATCCCCTATTGCCCGAGGGCCCCATGAGTTGTCAGTCCGCCCCTGGATTAGACACAGCTGATCACATGACCGAGCCGACATTTTCGGCTCTTTCCGTTGATCGGTGATCCGCTGTGTCCTAGGGAGTATGTTTAATCTCTCATAAAAGCTAAAATATTAGTTGCAGAGAGATGGAAATGCTTCCTTCTTGTAGGGCATTCTGTGCTCCACATCGACACCTAAAAATCATATTTGTGGCTTAGGTAGAAGGCCAGGATGGATCGCGACAGTCGAATGGTGTTTGGTACTGTCGCGATCGGGCCGATGCACTGGTGTCGGAAATCCAATCCCTGACTTGGTGTTTCAAGCTGGTCTTAGTCCGATTGAACTTGGGCAGGTCAGCACCCAGAACATCCTGTGGGCAGGTACAGGGGCAGCCCCCATGGTCAATTGGCCGAGGACTATTGTCCCGCCTACGTCCATATCCCCATAAATGGAGTACCCAGGCATTGGGACATTTGTGATTCATATGGAGCCAGTTCGATTTGACTGACGGATTGCTGACGCTTCTGTGTATTTAAGCACGTGCTCATATCTCTGGAGAGATTAGATTGGAGAGATTATATTGGATTAGATTGTATTGTATTTTAGTGCCTTTAAATTCTCGGTCAAGCTCATTGACAATCTTTATGCAATTGCACTGTGTGTGGGCAGATTGCATGCAGATTGTAAAAGGTAACAGATCTGCCAGACAGAGATCTGTGTGTGTGGGGTGTCCCAGCAGACCGTTCTGCGGATAAACTGTTGGGTGGTGGCAGTCTACCTTTTGTGGTGTGTCTGGTGCGGGGGGGGGGGGGGGGGTGTGGACAGTGGAAGGGTGATTAACACCGGGGTTCAAGCTGTAGGTTGACCAGCTGGATTGGAGTGGTGGCCAAAGGTAGTGCGGGCTGTGAAAGGGTATCACGGCTGGTCTTATATATTCAAAGTTCAGTCCCCTTTATTCCCTTGTACCCCAAGTCATGGCTGCATGTGCGTGCCTCGGTTAGCTAGTCGCTGTGGGCGTGGCGTGTGGGGGATCCCTGACACCTCCCAACAATATCAGTTTAAAAAGCTGGAAAATCTTGAAAGGAGAAAAAAGTGCACCTTGCGAAGTGGGCTGTGGCAAAAAGTGGTTGTGGGAAAATTGTGCTGGATATTGGATGTGGCACAAAGGAACGTGTTTAAATATACTCTGAGCCTACTCACAGTAAACACTGCACATAGTCAGCCACTCCCACAGGAATGATCACCAAACTGGATAGGGTGGAAAGATATATACCAAAATGGTTCATAACACTATGATCTGTGACTAATAGCCCATTATATGATTCATCACTGTGTAAAACAATAGTGAGTTAAAGTAAGAATAAGCAAGGAATGTGGGTTTGGTCAAAATCTATTTTAACTATTCTACAACTTTCTGGTGTTTTAGCAACCATTGTCTTGGATGACAGCTGTTCCTTTTTTTTCAGGTGTCAGTTTTTTACAGTCTCTCCCTTTCCTGTGTCTTTATAGCCACTTTTGTTTTGCAATAAGTCATAGAGGGATTTTGCTCTACCTGAAAATGTTTTTCTAATGAAACAGTAGTAATAGCTTAGAAGCTCAAGTAATTATCTCACTTCACTTGCTGTATTTGGTCTTTTTCTAAAGCTGGCCATACACTTATCGAAATTCAGCTGTTCCAGCAGGGACTGGCAAAATGCTGATCGTTGTGTGGGCTCCCCCACTCAACAGAAGTTTTTAATCAACTTCTGTCAAAAAGATATGTTGGAGAATTTTCAGCCAATCAGCTGCAGCCACTGATCAGTATATTATGACAGTGGCGGGTGTTGCTGTCAGAATACAATATCTCATAGATGGATTCCTCCATAAATCTTGTTTGTGTGGATGGAAAAAATCCTACAGTCAGAATAAAAAAATCTAATGTATAGACAGCTTAAGTTCATATACTGCTTCTGTATCCTTTGGATCTCTTTGAAACCTATTGTCTGAAAAGAGTCTACCAAGAAATCTCACTTCTCTTTTGAAATGTTCACACTTGTTTGCTCTAATTCGAATGTGAGCGCACTTTATCAGAAGCGACAGCCTGCACACTATAATAACAAATGTTGATTAGTTAGCTCATCACAAAAGCTTCCAGCTTATTGAAAGGTGTGTTTTGCCAGCATCCAATGAAAGGGAAGCTTTAGGAAAAGTGCAGCAGTGATGGACAGGCATTTGGAAGCCATGATGACCGCATGCAGTGATTACACACACAAGGGTAACAAACTGAGGCAGTTCTAACTACCCTCACTGTTGCTGAAAGCTAGATGTAAAAAAGGGGCAAGGGATAGTGGTAATGTCCATATTTGGAAAATGACTTGTTTTACCAGCACGGCAAAGCCTATTGGAGAACTGAGAGACCAGTTCCCCATCAGGTCGACCTTACCTTTGATCGGTGCTAGGCAGTGGCTGAAGTTGAAAGCCACTAATGGACTGAAGAGCAGCTATGGATTTGCCCACTGACATGCACTGTCAATCAACAGCCAGGCAGACCTAATGAGAGACTAGTTTTTCAGTTCCCCATCAGGTACTGCCCACTCATACTACAAAACTCCTCTGACAATTTAGGCTCAGCACCGTGATGAAACTGTAAATGGTATCTAATGAATTCCCTCCAGAGAGACTATGTCAAACCAGGACGTAAGCATTACAGAGTGGACAGTGTGTGCTGTACAATTATTGAGAAGAGAGAGAAGTGCGCCAGACTAAGTGCAGTAGGAATATAACAATTTATTGCACACAAGATTATAAAAACTCACAAAACGTGGGTAGATATCAGCATCAATATATAAGGAGGAGGACGTCATCTGTGCTGCACCTCACAGGTGGATGGCTGCAATGCCAAGGTGTTGCACGGCTGGTGCGCTAGGCGGGTCCCACAGGAGGAAGCGAGGATGGCAAGCGCAGTAACTGGGAGTCGCGGCGCAGATAGAAACCAGGATCCAGAGCGGGCGCTGCTGATCTCTCACATCAGCGTGGGTAAAGGAGCCAGCTTGAGGCGCATCCAAGATGGCCGCCGAGCGGAAATGACGTCTAGACGTTGCTGGGAATCCTCCAAGGGGGGCGGTGACGCGTTTCAAGGCAACCTGCCTTTTCATCAGACCTGATTGGCCACTGGAGTGAGCCAATAAATAAGGGAAGAAGGAGGGGGTGGGGCAACTAAGGGGGCAGGGTGGTGAATTAGAAAAAATGTATAATACATACGGGCTTAAGAAACAGTGATGGAGAACATAGGAAATGAACGGTGAACAGCTGCTATCTGAAGAACATGTAAAAATTGAAAGGAAAGGAAGGAGGGGAGAGGAAGGGGATGAACTAAAGAAACGATGTTGGGCAAAATAAATAAATACTTGGGCAAATTAACATGTATGAATAAAAGTATATATAATACACATAAATACACAGACAGGGAAAGTAAATAATTGTATATATATATAATAAATTAAAAGAAAAGAAAAAAAAATATTTCTATCAAATCATGAAAAAATTAAACATTAATGGAATATTATTAAATATATTAAAAATGTAAAAAGTTAAAATTAATTAAAAATATGCGTGTATATATATATATATATATATATATATATATGTGTGTGTGCCCATGAAACACATAAAAAAGGCATGTAGAAAATAGAAGATTATACAGGGGATATTTAGTTATAAACGTTATTACTGTGATGTGAATTATGAAGGGTAAAGTGGGCGGGTAGAAAGGGGGGTAGGAGGGAGGGGGGGCGACGGGGGAAAGAAATGAACAAGGTGGTGTGGGAAATAAAGCATGTACTATAAAAAATAAATAAAGGAGGTGTGAGAGAGTAAATTATTAAAAAAAATTAAATAATAGTGTGTATCTCAATCTCTTCATTGAGGCCCCTAGGTGCAAGGGTATCTAAGATAAAGATCCAATAGGTCTCCTGTTGGCATAATAATTTGAAACGTTCAGCTAGGGGGAGATGGTCTGGTATAGCCTCAATGACCCATACTTGTAGATGGAGAGAAGATTTAGAATAAAAATCTGAGAAATGGCAGGGAACACTGTATTTGGTGATGCCATCATCAACTGACCTCTGGTGCTCGCCAAATCTTTTTTGCAGTGTTCTAATGGTACGTTCCACATATAAAAGGCCGCAAGGGCAGGACAGGCAATAAATTACATATGTGGAAGAGCAATTATAAAAGGCTTGGATGGGATAGGTTTTTTCCATTGATTGTGAAATTTCGTTGGCCATGCTTCACATGGGCACACGTGAGACAGAGCGGTTTATTGCAATGGAACATCCCAGTGAGTGGGATTAGTACCGGTCTATTAAAATGGGGGGGGGGGGATTTTAGGGGGGGAATTTTGCTGGGTGCAATTTTGTTCTTAATATTAATTGCTCTTCTATATACAAATGTGGGGTAGGGGGCATAATCGTTTTGAGGTGTGGGTCTTGATGTAAGATAGGCCAGTGTTTCTTTAGGATGGATTTCATTTTGTGATGTTTAGAATGAAACTGTGCAATGAAACGGATATTGTTATTGTTAGATGATTGCGGCTTTGGTGGCGGAATCGTGTCTGATAAGTAGGTGAGATATGCTTGTTCCACTAAGTCAGAAGGATATCCTTTTTCTGTAAATTTTTGTTTTAGTTGGATGCTTTGGGCTTTGTAGTCCTTAAGTAAGGTACAGTTGCGTTGCAGTCTGCAGAACTGTCCTTTAGGTATATTTTTGAGCCATCTAGGGTGATGACAGCTAGTGTAATGAAGAAAGGAGTTACCAGCGGTTGGTTTGGTGTAATTGTTAGCTATAATATTGGAGTCCGAGTGGCTAAGTTCCAAGTCAAGAAAACTTAGCGAGGTAGGGTCCATAACATGAGT